CTTGTTCTCTCTCCTTTTCCCTTTTTGGTAGGGCAGAGGGGTTAATAGAGAGCCTCTGTCATTTGTTAGTGGCCAGCCCAGCCTCAAACTGTGACACTTGCGCTGTAACCAGTGGTGATGAGACCTTGGCTTCTTTGAGGTCTGCGAGGCAAATAGCTCCGTGACACTGCAGGTGTTGGAAACCAGACTTTCTTGTTAAAGACAAGGGAGTGTAATGCAGCCAGATTGAAATGCTGCTTTAAAAAATAAATTTCACTCAGATGTTTCTAGCCATCTGCAAAGTTTCAGTGCATTACTTCAGTGAAACTGGAAACTTCCAGCTGAAGTGTCCAGTACTATCAGCAAATACCTGAACACACCTTTTCTCTTTCATGTTTTAAGGAAAAGCTGGGAGGAAAACCTTCTCTTTATCTTGTAATACTTATCCTTCCACTCACTGCTGTATCACAAGGATGGAATAAATAAAAAAAAACCCACAACCCAGACCCCAACTTGCAAATACCAAATGAAGAGGTGGTTTTGTTTGCTTGTTTTTCTGAAAGAGGATATTCCAGACAAATTGCTGCTGATGGAATTTTGTCACCTAGGCCTATGTGGTGGGAAGAGCTGTGACACCTCATCGTACCTCAGAAGATCCTGTTCTTAAGAGCCTCTTTCTTTACATCTTGCTGTAGGTTTGTGGGCTCACTGGGTACCATCGTTATAAAATGCAAAGATCTGCGAATTATCCAGCTGGATATACCTGGAATGGAGGAGTGTTTGAACATTGCTAGCTCCATCGAGGTAAGAGTTCATGATGAGAACTTACACCTGTATTCTCAGATCTTGCTCAGACCTCAACCTTAACAGCTTTTTTTTTACTTGTTAGGAAAACTTTCACTGATGGTCTGAGAAGCAAATGAGAATTGTGGGCTATTTTCTTTCAATTGTTAAAATACTGTTTATGGCTTGTAGGTGTGTTTGTCTGTTATCATCTGCTTTTGTTTGTGCTCTTGGTTTTTACGTGTGTTAAACTACCCTGCAGGTAACTTAATATTTCAGGCTGTATACTTTTGGGTGGCTTAAGTCTTCAATATTGGAGGGGCAACTCTGTATGGGGTGTTTTTTTGGCATAAAAAAGCAGTTTGAATGAATTCAGTAGCTGTTTATTTCTCTCAGGCGCTTTCCACCCTGGATTCTGTCACTCTCATGTATCCCTTCTTTTACCGGCCCATGTTTGAAATCATTGAAGATGGCTGGCGCTCCTTCCTGCCTGACCAAGAATTTGAGCTCCTCAGTTCAGTGGTAAGTTGGACCTTCAGGATTTGCACAGGTACTGGGATGTACTTCTGCAAGGAGTTTGTGAAGTATTTCACCCAGTAGTGTCTGGACTGGAGATCCTGGATGGTAAAAATAGCCAGCCAGTGCCTGGGTGGAAGGCGAGTGTTCAGCTGTTCACCCTAACCAGCGGCTGTTTCTGTCCGTGCTAAAGATGTTCCTCTTGGCCACTTGTGTTTCACCTTGTACAAGTGGAGATTTGATGCCCAGTTAAAAGTTACCTGGGAGGACACGAAGGTAGGAAATGTTCTTGTCCTTTGGGGGTTGCCCTTCTTGTTGTAAGGACAAATTTGTGAAGACCTTTGGCCTGGGGTGGTTGTACTTTGTATCCGAAGTGGAGTGGGATGAGGCTTTTGTTGAGTATCTAAGGACAGGACAAGAGGAAATGGCCTCAAGCTGCACCAGGGGAGGTTTAGATTGAAAAATTTCTTTACTGAAAGGGTGGTCAGACACTGGAACAGGCTGCCCAGGGAGGTGGTGGAGTCACCATCCCTGGAGGTGTTCAAAAAACACGTAGATGTGGTGCTTAGGGCATGGTTTAGGGGTGGGCTGGGTAGTGTTAGGTTAATGGTTGGAACTGATGATCTTAAAGGTCTCTTCCAACCCAAATGATTCTGTGATCCTACGATTTGTCAGTCCTTAGTTGAAGTGAGGCTGTCTTTAAACAACTGCTAAGGATTTCTTAGCTCACCAGGAAGATGACAGTAGATGAAGATGCCCAAGTCGAAACACTCTTAGCCCTAGTTCATGCTGGGGGGCGTTTAGAGAGCAGGAAACTTCCAGTTGTGCTCTTCCAGGTGCTGTGAGCACATGTTGATGTTATTTTGGTACCTGTAGGGTAGGGATTGTTCTGGTGGCGTTGCCTGTTGTATCTGTTTTCAGACTTCATTTTAGGATGCTGAATTTGATACAGTGGGAACTGGCTCAGCTGCAGCAGCCACCTACCTGTTTTAGTGGTGCCTTGGGTAGCACCTCTGTGTTCCAAGTCTTTGTTTCACATTAGAGATGTGCACTTGCTGCATCATCTTAGGTTTCTGAGACCACATCCATTAGTACAGCATCAGGGAACATTGATTTTTTTTTTTTATTTTCTTATATCTGCAACCCAGCTTGGCTGTAGCATTTATCACTTCCTGTTTATGACTAATAACTGAATAATATGATTAGCTTGTCCAGATCTGTATGATGAAGTCATTAGGAAATTAAAGGAGTTCAGATATCTTCCTATTTTTGTCTCATAATTAGAGTACTCTCACATGTCCTCCCGTCCTCTGCTGTCAAAAGCCACACAAACTGACCTGTAGTAACTAGCACCACAGTTTTTTGGTTTTAATTTCAGCTGAGGAAGTCAAATGTGATCAGAGTGTTCTCCTGTTTGGAGCAGCGGATGCTTTCCCAGCTCAGCAGAGGCGTTTCGCTGAGAATCAGAAGGCCAGAAGCTGAAGCTCTGTCTGGTGCGAAGGGAGGGGTGTGAGAGCAGGATTGAAGGCGGCAGAGGGAAAACCTTTGGAGCTCAATGAAAGTTGCAGGAGATGGTTCTGCTTCTGTTCACGTTTTGCTTTCTGTGCGTAGCTGAAATCTATTTTAGACCTCGGGGCTCAGATCACTTCTGATGGTTGTATTTACCAGCCTGATACAGGTGCTGACATGGATCCACTGACAGGCTTTTTTTCCCTCTTTTTTCTTTCAGAGGTTTAAAAACGTGTATTTGTCACTCTCTTGGCTTTCTGAACATATGCTCCTTGGAAGGCTTATGTTTAAAAACCCAACTACTTCATAGTGCTGTGTTTCAAGGACAATAATTCATTTCTTTAACATATGCACGGCTAACAGCTGTTGATTAATTCTTGGCTTTTAACCCCAAACTTCAGAAGTAACTCCTACTGAATGAAATGGTGACAAAAGCCACGTTCAAATGACTTACATTTCCTGAACAGCAGCTAAATATATTGTTGACCAAATATTTCTTGTGCTGTAATCAAACTGTCTTATGTGGCAGGCTAGAACAAGTTAAACGGCTGATTTTATTTTGTTTTCTCCCATAAATCAAACGAGTAGAACTCAGGAGGTTACCTCCCTTCCCATTAAATCATCCATCTGGATCTGTTACGCCTTACCTTCCCCAATTTGGTAACAACTTGTCAAAAACTGCATTTCACCCACACTGCAGCTCTAGTAATGTATTAATTCCACATTTGTCTGCTAGAGGAGAGTTGTTGTAAAGCTCTGACACATTATATAATGGTAAAACTATATAAAAAAACCCCCTATAAATGTTGATATTAAAGTTAGGTAATACATCAAAAAATTTAGATAGTATGTTATTATACTGTATAATAATTAATCTGCTTATCTTAGCATATGTTGTGCCAAATGTGGTGGGGTTTTTTTCTCCCAACACCCCCCCTTACTCCTCCATGTGATCTCACTCCATGGCATTAACCTGACAGTGTCATCTAGCAGTGCCCCTAGAATTTGGTAGCGGACACTTAAGCACTTTGCCCCTGCAGCTCAGCCCCAGGAGCAGGGAGGCTGCTGTACTGTCATGACATCCTTGCTTTTAGTCCACGAAGGCGTTGAGGGAAGAACTGTTAAAGCAAGCAGTTGGAGGCATTGAGGCTCGGTGAGCTGTCGTTTGCTGATGGCTGTTGGTGTCCGCGCTACCTGTTCGTTACCTTGGGGATAACCCACAGCGCGGGTCAGCAGGGCTTTTGTCTGTCCATGAACTGCTGTTATGATAAATCCAACAAATCAACAGAGTAGTTCAGCTGAGAATGAAGTCATATGAAGAAATCAGCTGAACGTTTCACTAAATGTCACAGCGAAAACTCCCCGGTGCCTGCGGGCTCCCAATTATTGTACTACAAGATGAGACTTTAAAGATACTAGAGACAAATAGATGAATGGAGGAAGGGATGCACGGGATGGGTAATGTCTGCTCACCAAGCTTTTGGTTGTGGTTTTGCTTGAAGCACTGGGTAGTACATGAGATCTGGGTTGGTTATAGGTATGTCAGGTGAAATGTGTATAAAAAAAAGTTTGTGTTCTCCTCTGGACTACTGCAGGACCAGGGAGTGGCTGAATGGAATTACAGTGTGTGCAGGGGGGTTCGTGTTTATTCTGAGGAGTCAGAGAAGAGCCAACAGGCTTCTCTGCTGCCTGATTCTACAACTGCAGGATGCTGTAACTTAGGAAATTCAACTTCTTCTCGAAGTCAAGTGAAGAGGCCATGAGAAGTTTGTACACTGACAGTATAATTAACATGGAAGTATTTCATTGCCACAAAATTCACTTTCTTTCTCTCTTTTTTTTCCCCCTCTTTCCTCTCTTCCCTGTCATCCCTCCTTTTTCCTTCCATTTTCTTGTAGGAAAGGGCTCAGAGTTCTGGGCAGTTCAGCTGTAGTTTATCTTCTCTACTGGAGCTTCTTAAAAAAAAAAAAAAAGCTGAATGTTCTGGTTTTGAGTTTGGTTTGCAATGGTGCGGGTAGCCCATATTCTGCTCTCATCAGACAAACATCAGTCTTTGCTTGCATCTGTTGTTATGCTTCTCTTCCCTGCAAAATCTGTTACGAACGGGGCTTGTTGCTTTCTGCCTGTTCCTTGGGAATGGCCTCTGTCATTGCTGCTTTGCAGGATCCTTCAAGGTCCCTGCTGGTTTCTTGACTTTTCTTTTAAGGCTTCTAGTAGAGCTTGAATTGTTTCACGCCGTTTTGTGGAAAATGACCTCTCCTAGCAGTTACAAATTTTGCAAGGAAGTTTAACTGTTGTTTTAGCCTTTCAGTCACATGTGAAAATCGGCATCTCTAAGCAAGTACTAGGACAAGAAAAGTAGGGATGTAAGAGTTAATCCTGCACTGTGTTTAAGAAAAGATTTCTACTTTCTCTCTTTGGAGTCCCCTCCTCCCCTTTCTGCTCATCCCCCAATCTTTTGCTGCTTCTAGTCTTAACTGGAATGAGCTTTTTTTTTTTTTCCCTGATTCTCTATAGTACAGATCTCTTGCTGGGAGAAGTAAATGTTAACTTTGTACTCTGAGTTTCGTGCAGCATACTTATCTGGCGATGTCTGAAGATAAGGGCCACCTCTTCTCTTCCACTGCAGTCCTTACTGATTCCTGTATCTGCATCTACTGCTGCACATGGTTGAATTGCTGTTACCTTCCTCTTCCAGTTCATAATAGCAATTTTTTTTCTTCCAAACTGCAAACATACCCCAAGCAAAAGCTAAGAAGAGACTTGTGCTGTTGGGTTTCACTGTCATCTCATTCATGTTGGAGGGTATTGTAGCAGTCTGAAGCTGGCATTGCAGAGGTTAACTGGAGCTCTGCAGGAGCAGCTATGCCAGGGAAGACAAATGGTGCTAATTGCTGCTGCTCTCTTCCTCCTTCCCATGTAACAGTAAATTATAGCTGGGTGACATAACAGTATCATCTGTCTCGTGTTATAAATGGTGAGGAGAGGAGGTTATGGGCAGAGTTAAATTACCAAAGTGGGAGATAAATCAGGTGGATACTCTTCCATTCCTTTTCATACTGGTGATATCAGTGACAACCAGTCTCTCAAAAACCATACCGTGGAGTTCTGGCTTTTGCCTCCCCTACACCCTGTGTGGCAGGACGGTATTTGTCCGTTCAATCTCCGTGTGTGTCTTTTCATTGCAAACAAGTTGCCGTCATATGAAATCTGCTGTAGTTTAGCATAGAGACCCCAAAAAGCTATAAAAAAAAAATAAATCACGTGTAGATGTGGTGCTTAGGGCCATGGTTTAGTGGTGGTGCTTAGGGCCATGGTTTAGTGGTGGGCTTGGTAGTGTTAGGTTGATGGTTGGACCTGATGATCTTCAAGCTCTTTCCCAACCAAAATGATGCTGGCGCATTAAAACCATGAGCTGTGACCAGCCAGCCTCCCTTACGTGATCCAGAGCTTCTCCTCTCCGCCTGTGATGTGATTGCCGGAGGCAATTTAACTTTGCATCTGGGAGAACCTCTGCTTTTTATAAAAACACAGATGTTCAGAGAAGCTGGTTTGAGGGTAGTGAATAATGAAATAAGCTTATGACAGGGACGGTGCAGAACTGTGCGGACAGGCTCCTGAAAGCGGGCAGCAATTGCTGTTCTTGATGATGGTGCACACAACATGGACCTTGCCCAGCCTCTTTTTTTCTTAAGTGGCCACCAAAAGGGACAACTTTGCTGTCTCCTATGCCACACATCCTGTGCCTTGGATCTACTGGTGATGGACAGTGTGGTGAATCAGTTCAGCTTGTTCATCTGATGGAAAGACTTCATTGCTAGAAAACCTTTCTGAATCGATCCTAGTTTTCCATTGGACCAGTGAGCCAGTCAGCTTGATTTATATAACCGGGTGTAAGGCAAGAGGCAGTAAGCCTCTGGAAGAAAGGAAAGAGGAAGAGAGACCTGCTTCTAATCAGAGCTGTTTAATTAATGCATGTTAAACCAACCTTCCTGAGTTGATGTGGGGTTTTATGTATTCTGTTACCACGTAATTTAACTGTCATGCTCTTCTCTTGCTGCCTGTGATACCTGCTTTATCCCCCTGCCTTTTTGTCTAACTGAAACTTTCGTTGAACACAAATGAGCAGAGGTTTTTCATGGCGTCTGTATGAGGTCTCTGCCCGCTGCAGTGGCACGCGAGTGCTTCCCAGTCTGTACCAAAAACACCTCAGCTGAGGAGCTGCTTAAGGTCTTGGTTGCTTTCTCACACCCGTGTCATGTCAAGGCATAGGAACTAAAAAAAAAAAAAAAGGAAAAAAAATCCACCTTGAAAGCAGCTGCCTGTTCCTCTTCAAAAGGTTTTTATATTTCATTTTAACTTCTTGGTGTCTGGAGCTTTTACAGGCAAATTTACCTGCTGTTTTGCTGCTACTTTTCAGAATTTAATGTGCTGTTAAAATACGGTGTAGAGGCTTCTGGGTCATTTTTCCCCTCCAAAGCTTCTGCCAGCAGGTTTTGTTGGCCGTAAGGAATGCAGGGTAAGGATGCACTGACTGAAGAGGCAGTCCAGCCAGTTCACTGTCCTGCTGTTGAGGACCATGAGCTCCGTTCCCTGCCAAACTTCAGACGAGGTCCTACTGCCTGTTATGTGCCCCTGGGGAAAATACATGCCTCATGGACATTTGACGTACCTGGAGGGCGTCCTTAACGCAGCAGGCAGTGGTGTGGTACCAGTCCAGAAGCAGCAAGCTCTCCATGAAGGCTGGGCTTGTCTGAGGCTGCAGTAAGGGCAGTGTCACTCTTCCAGCCTGGACTTAGCGAGGACTCCTGGTCAGTGAGGCCTCTCGTTGACCTTTGGTTTTGCGTGAGATGGAGCCAAGTCCTGTGTCTGACCCTGAGTATCAGGTAGCCTGAGCTCTCGTGCCAAGTGCCTGCGAGGGTGCAGGGTGCCAATATTCAGCACTTTTCCCCACGTGTTTGGCTGTTGGAAGCTGAAAAATTATATAACAGGAGTTCACTGTGAGACCTTTGCGCTCAGATGCGGTGCTGTTTCCAGGGGGTGCTTCTGGAGGAAGAGCTGGAGTGCTTTAGGTAAAGCAGAGCCCATAGAAAAGAACCAAGCTGGGAATGTTAAATTGCAATTTTAGCCTCCAAGCAGCTTCATTGTCTGGAGACGGACGCTCTTGGCTTTCTTGGCCACCTTTGTCTTGTGGATGGTGTTACTAACTCTGCTTTTGGGACAGATAGAGGTTTGAGCCCATGTTACCCACATCTAAACCAACCTTTTTTTTTCCCCCCTCTAAATCTGCTGATGTAGGAATACATTTCTGTTCTGGGCTTTCCCTGAGAGAGAGGCAAATATGCTCTTACTTCTGATGAGATTGAAGCTACCTCAAAGGCGGTGATGTTGTAGTGCACACTGCAGACATGCTGTCTGCTGCGTCTGAAAGAATTAAAAGCCACAGTCGCCCATTTCTGACCACGTGTGCTGTTTTGTTGAAGATGGGGATAAACCAGGTGGGGAACCATTGTTCAAGTCCTGCATCTCAAGAACCAGAGTCACCTGATAAAGCTTGTAGGCAATGGAGGAAGTTATCTGCGTGCTGGGTAACGAGCTTCTGGGAGCTGCTGCAACAAGATGCTGTGATTGCAGACAGCATCAAGAGGGGTGTGTGTGTCGGGGGGAAATAATCAGTCAGCAGAACTATAAATGGATACTGAAAAGACTAGGTATGACAATGTGAGGGGTTGGAAGGGACCTCTGGAGATCATCTCATCCAAACCCCCTGCCAGAGCAGGACCACCCAGAGCAGGTCACCCAGGAACGCGTCCAGGCGGGGTTTGGATGTCTCCAGAGAAGGAGACTCCACCGCCTCTCTGGGCAGCCTGTTCCAAAGGCAGGGAAATACCTTCTAACATCTGTGGTACAACACCCCAGAGGTACGGGGTGAGGAGTGCACCGCAGAGAGCGGCCAGGCCTGTTTGTTCTTGAATAGCATCTCTTCTGTCCTGTGTTTGTTGGAGACAAGGTGCAGTGCTGGGTTCGGTATGACCCATTAGCGTAGTTATGCTGTTGCAGGGGGTCCGGATTCCTGGATGAACAAGTGGTGATGCCAGTAGGGGACAACTGAGCTTTCATTTGTGGTGCAGATGGAACAGATCACCAATGTTACTCCGTGCGTGTGTGATCCTGAATGTGCAAGTTCCTCTTCCCTGGTGTGTTATGCTGTAACATCACAGCAATAATCTGTTTTCTGACCCAAAGCCTGTATGTTCTGATCTTTTTCAGACAGATGAATGGCGCCTAAGCTGCATCAATAAGGAATTCTCTGTCTGTGCCTCCTACCCGCCGGTTGTCATTGTCCCCAAATCCATCGATGATGAAGCGCTTCGGAAAGTTGCCATATTTCGCCACGGCAATCGCTTCCCTGTCCTCAGCTATTACCATAAGAAGAACGGGATGGTAAGCTGCGTTTGAGTGATGGTGGTACCTCAAGGAAGCGTCTGAGTCTGCTTAATGGAAAAACAACTTGTGCTCTAGGCTTAATGCAGTTCAGGAGGTGTTTGCTCCTTTGATTTTTTCCAGCTTAAATGTATGCAGTGAAACTGGTTCTGGGTGATGGAATGAGTAATCTCCATCCTAGAAATAGCTATTAATCCGCTGCTTTGGGAGGGTACCGTGGCATGAGCTCGCCCACAGCAGTAAGAGCAAGATGAGACTTGCAAAGCCACTGCTGGCGCCCTTCCTTGCTTTGTCTGCCAAGAGGCTTTTTTTTGGATGGCAGAAACCACATTGTCCTGTCTCTGGATGGTGGGCCATCTCCTCCGTAACGGAGTCGTGATGACAGCAAGCGTGCCCAGAGCCAGCACTGCTGCTGCTGGGTGGCTGTTGGAGTGATCAGAACAATCTGTTCTCTGAGCCTGTCGGTGTAACATCTTTCAGGAGTGGCAAATTCTCGCTGTTGCACAGACTTTACCACCTCGCAACAAGCCAAAAATCGAATTGAGTGACTGAGACGCTGTAATTAAGAAATGCACTTCATAAATTGGGTAATTCTTTGTGTGTCTTGCTCATGTAACCCGTTTTGAGGATGTTGGGATGTCCAACCGGCGGCTTGTAAACTCGATCCAGGCTTCTGAGTCAAATGCTTTAATGTGTTCTCACCTGCTGTTGCCAAGATTTGTAAGCCCTGAATTAGAGAACGCCTAGTCTGACTTAGTAGTGCCTTTGGGTTTTTTTTTGCCCTGCTTTAAATTCAGCCATCTACCAGCTTCATAAGTTGAGCTTTCTGTTTTGTTGGGTTTTTTTCCTCAGCTCAAAACCGGAAAGAAGGAAGATTTGTTCAGTTATCTCTCAGAATTGTGCATGTTTCAAGTGTGAGAAATATAATAGCGTTTGGCTCGGAGTGCTTGAACTTGTGACAGTAACACTGTCTGTCGTGTTGCTTTCCTGACTCTGAGTTCTTGAGCGTAGCTGGGGTTGCTGACTGGTTGTCCTCACATTTTAGTTACCATCTGAGCTGCTGGGATGCTTTCTGAATCGAAAGGCATTTACTAAAAAGAAACTTCAGCTCATAAATCTGCAGACCTAAGGTTTATTAGTCTAGCCGCTGGGTAAAATTGTACCCAAGAGGCATCTTTAACACATGAATGACCTGAGTGTTTTAAAAACAGAGTTGGGAAGAGACCTTAGAGATGACAATCCTGCAAATTTTTTTTTAGGAGCCATCAGCAGGAAGCCAGTTCAGTGGCTCACAAAGATGGTGCTACAGGAATAGTGAAAGGGGTGAAACCTCTAAGACGACATCTGTAACTTAAAGTGGCCTGCCAAATGATTTCTCAATTCAAGGATTTCTAGTTTGGTTTTTTTTAAATAAATTCAGTCCCTGCAAGGGATTGCACTTAAAAGAACTCAAGTATATGCAGGGTAAGGGGGAACAGCAGCTGTAGGAAGAACTAGAGACATTGCTGTGCATCAGGCAGGGCAGAGCAGGGCATTTGCTTGTCTGTGTCTAGGTGTGGTGGCTCAAACTTGAAGCAGATGGAAGCAGGACGTGCGGTGGGGTGAGAGCTGCACTTGCTGCTGTAGCTCCACAGAGAAGAGCTGGAGATCCAGGAGGGCCCCGCTTGAATTTTACCCCTGAGCTGACAGAGGAGGTTTAAGGTTGAGCTCCCTCACTGCCGTGAGCATTGTCACAGTGACCCAAGTTGTAAAGGGAGACGGGAGCATCCTGTGTGAATTCCAGCAGCGCGCTTCTCTGGAGAGACTTTCTCCATGCCTGCCCTTGAGACCCAGCGATCTAATGCACCAGTCTGCAGCCTGCATTTACAGACCCCTAAGAAATCCTCTGGTGAAGGGGTGTCCCTTGCTTTGGGACTTTAAATGTCCATTCTTGGCTTGGAGCTCAAGGGATCAGTGGCTTTCAATCTTAAGTCTCTCCATTTCCAGTGCTTTATTCGTGGTTATTTGTCTCTGCAGGTCATGATGCGAAGCAGCCAGCCTCTCACGGGTACGAATGGGAGACGGTGTAAAGAAGACGAGAAGCTTATTAACGCCACGCTACGGCCTGGCAAGCGGGGCTACATCATTGATACGAGGTCCTTGAACATTGCCCAGCAGGCCAGGGCCAAAGGAGGTGGCTTTGAACAAGAAGCACACTATCCCCAGTGGAGGAGGATTCACAAATGTATTGAGAGGTGGGTGAAATCACACAGGCTCCCCTCTGTGCTCAGCTTTGTAGGGCTGCATTGGCAGAGCCGGTAATAGCTCCATAAAGTATTTGCTTCCGTAAGAAACGGATGGGTATCCTGGTTCCTGGCGACAGGGTCGTGTTTCTTTTTTGACAAAATGAGGTTATGTGGATGATGAAGTTACTTGGCTTTGGAGAGTTGTGTGGGGTTCCTTGTTCTGAACAGCTTGCTGCAGGATTCAGGCATCAGGCGCTCTCCCTGTGCCATTGCTTTCTCTGACCCTCTACAGCTGCGCTCCAGTTCCCCTTTGCAGTGGGGCACAGGAATGAGCAAGTCCCTTGCCAGCAGATTTCTGCAGGTGAGGATTTGTTCTGTGGCAGCCACGCTCCTCTTAGCCTGTGTACGTTTTGCTGGTCCTCTAACACTGTTTGGTCATTTAAGGGCAAGTTCCTAAGTTGAATAGCGTTTGAACAAGGTCAGACTAAAAGTTTCTTAAGCCTTAGTTTTGGGGAATCCTTCTACACAGGCTTGCAGTGATGTTACTGGAGCTATTGGAAAGCAGTCGCTCCCCTCATTGCTGTATAGGCCAGCTCTTGAGGAGCTAAGGTAAGGAATTTCCTGCTTGTTGCTTTGAACTACTTGGTTTTGCTTCTAAAAATGTTATGTGGACTTAAATTTGATTATCTTACAGGTGGACATAAGCATCAGTTAGAGAGGAGTGAATAAACCACAATATAGAGAGACTAAATACCTTATGATGATATTATTTGGCTTTCTCAGCTTTTCTGAGATCGAGCCTGCTAGCTGCATCCTTTATTAGACCTGAGCACGTGCTGAAATCTGTGTTAAGTGGCAATTGATCCATCAGTAGTTTGGTGCCCCTGGAAGGCATAATGTTAAACAAGACCAGAGAAGCATCTCTTTTTATCAGCTTCATGCTAAATACCAGCTTTTTGGGGCTTGGGGACATAAGGCAACAAATGCACAAGTGATACAGAATGTGGTGTTCCCCCCTACCCCCCTCCCTGTTCTTTTTCTTTCATTCTTAAGAAATTAGCCAAGCTAATCTTAGTGTGGTTCTACGTTGAGAAGTTGAGTCTAGCTTAAAATTTGCTGTGTTACAGTGGAGTTATGTCCTTGTGATGGATGGCTTTCAGATTACCGTTGCAGCAGGTTAAACCCCCCCAAAAACTTCTGGTGTAGTACAGAGAACAAAGGTGCAGCTCTTGAAGCTTGGCTGACACTTGTTTATGTCCGTGCCAGGTTGCAGTCGCACTTGGTGATGGGAGTGAGACTGCTGAAACACGTTTTACTGGGAAAGTTTAAGATCTGGCTGAACACACTCAGAGTTCAGGTGAAATACTACTGTTGTAACGCCTTACGAAGCAGTTTGTTTGAAAGGGAAGAGACTGCTCCTGTCCAAGGAGTTGGCTGTGGCTCGGCACTACCCGTGAAAGCAGGTTGGCTGAGTGAGGAGACTTCTATAGGGTCGAAATTTTGAATTAACTGCGTGTAAATCGTAGTGTTTTAGTTTGAGATCGGTGTATTTCTGTAAGCGCGTTGTCCTGGTTGCTGTGTTACTTGCTTGTGTCTTCAGTAATATTTTGCTTTTCCCAAAGGTTTAATATTCTGCAGGAAAGCCTCATCAAACTTGTAGAAGCTTGTAATGACCAGTCGCACAATATGGACCGCTGGCTCAGTAAACTGGAAGCTTCCAACTGGCTGACTCACATCAAGGAGATACTAACGGCAGCTTGTCTAGCTGCTCAGTGTATTGACAGGTAAAGCCTTTCCGGAAAGCCTTGGGTTTCTTATTCACTGGTTACAGGTTGCTTGTTCAATACCTCTGTTTCCACTTCAGGTGTTAGTAACTGGCCACCGTGAACTGGCTTGCTTGCACCCATGCGAGCTACTGTTTCCTCATGGTTAAAGAATGTTCCTTCAGTAAATCATGCTTTTCAGAAGTACAAGCCTTGAGGGGGTAAATCTTGACTAAGAATAAGTATTAGATCCTCTAGTTAAGGTATATTCCTGAGCCTGATGCAACCAATCTAATTCGGTTAGATTTATTGAAGGTTTAGGTTAGAATGTGCACATCTGAAATGCTGCTTGGTAGCCTAGTAAAGTGAGAACACAGAGGCTTTTTTAAAAAAGCCCCTTTTTTTTTTTTTCAGCTGAAAGTTTACAATAACCCGCCTCGCTTCTAGAGATTAAAACAATGGCATTTCCTTGTTTTCATAAAACAGTTTGGGTTGGAAGGAACCTTTTAAAGGTCATCTAGTCCAACCCCCCTGCAGCGAGCAGGGACATCTTTAGCTCGATCAGATTTCCTCAGGAATTGGTCTAGTGCTTTTTCCTCTTGAAGTCTTTATCCCTATAGTCCTATCTGAGCAATCCTGTTCATCCCTTCTGAGTGCTTGTGACCTCTTTTAACCTGACATTTCTTTCGTAAATACTGCTGACTTGGCTAATTTGTCTCCAGACCTCAGGCTGGAGAGCAAAAGCTAGCTGTCAAGTGCCAGGGTTTGTAAGGCCAAATGCAGGGCTCTAAATGCAATTTCTTTGGGGCTCTGAGAGGGGAAAGCCCTTCTCAAAACTCAGGGGAAAGCTCATTCCAGCTAGGGAATGTGTCGCACAGATACACAAGGAGGCTGAAATGCAGACTTGTTGGTGAAGCAGCATTACTGCATTAAAGTGGGAGCTGCTGTGCCTTTTAAAAGCACTGGCTGAGCCTGTGTCATTATTGACTGTGCCAGAAAAGGATTGCTCTTAGTCGATAGTTTTATCTGCAATTCTTTCCCCTGTGTGTAGAATGAGAAAGATCAGTGATGAAACTCTTCTGGCTTGTTGGGACAGTGGACGATTTCATCATTTTTAACCTCAGCTTTGCTCTTTCTGTTTATCTGGAGCTACGGCAGGCCAGCTCAGCGTGGGTGCCAGGCCCGCCTCATTCGGAGCCTGGAGATGGTAGCTGAGCTGACGAGGGTGGCTCAGTTACGTTGGCCATGGGGAGGGAACGGCTGGGACAGATCTTGGAGCGTCTTAAACATCTGGGGCCTGCAAGATGTGAAAATAGCGTTACCCTGGTGTGCCCCACTTGGAGGAGTGCGGAGGCTTGCAGTTAGCCTTTGGTGTTAGCTTGGCTGTTAAGCAGCCTCTTTATCTGCCACTGCCTGGGGGAGGAGGAAAGTATCTGAAGATGATCTATCCTGAAAAAGCACTGGGTTTGGTTTAGACATAGGACTATAGACAAAGAGGTTGCCATGCTCAAGGTATAGATTTTTATGCTTTTCGCTTCAAAAAGCAAGTCATGCTGCTTGCTTGGTAGATTGATCTTTCTTACCTGCACTTTGCTGCTTAGCTTGGATCTCTGCACAGAAGCAAATACAACCTGCAGTTAAATTCCTTTCTGGGTGTGAGGATGTTGGCAGGAGTGAGACATTGGGTCGAGGTTTGGGAAGAGAAGGGGAATAAATGCCATTTAATACCACCCAGTCCTTCCCTCAGGAGCACATGGATGAGATTCTGATATTGCATCCAAATGCAGCCTAGGATAGAGGAGAGGGAATTGGCTGTCCTGGACAATCCCCACTGGAGTGGAGGGAGCGACAGCACATGAGCCCCTAGCGATGTGCAAAACCTTCCTGCCCCAAACTCTGAGCTCCCTCTGCTCCTCAGGTTGTTCTGCTGATTCACTTGTGCTGGCTGGTGAGCGAGAAGCCTTTGTGCTTGGCTCTCTGACAAGCTTCCTTGCTCAGCACGCTAACTGCTGCCTTTCTGGAGACTGAAGCAGCACTTTTTTCTTTCTTTCTTTCTTTCTTTCTTTCTCTCTTTCTCCTAAACTGGCTTATTGATTTACTTTTCTTGCAGTAAACCCCAATTGAGGCCCAAATGCAACTAAGCCCAGGTTTGAGCAAGAATCTCATGGTATCGTTTTGCAGAGCATCTGGGGGGATGACGTGTCGTCATTGCAGTGCTTATGAAGATTTCAGGGTACTTAGCAAAACAATAAATGACACAAGCAAATTTTGAGATGCATTTCCACGCTGAAAGGGGTACCAATTAAAAATAAGGAGAACCACCAAAGATACTTGGCTGCACAGTTTTGGTCAGCATGGCAAAGGTTCTGGATTTCCAGCACGCTTAGCGAGAAGCCAAGCCTGAAGTGATGCAGAGCTCTAGTTTGTGTTGGTGAGGAACCAGGTGAAGGTGGTGTGCTTCCATGCAGGGTGGGGAGTAAGCTGATGGGGGAGAAGGTGTAAAGAGCCAGCAAAACCTCAGCGTTGTCAGGGTAGCACCAGCGGTGCCCTTGGGATGCGTTGGCATCTACTGGGATGCAGTAAGTCCTTGGGATGTGTTCTGCTCATTCACACCCGTATTCCTTTCCACCTTTTTTTCTTTCACAGGGAAGGTGCATCAGTGTTAGTCCATGGGACTGAAGGAACTGATTCGACACTCCAGGTAACTTCTCTGGCACAGATTATCTTGGATCCAAGGTGCAGGACCATACGTGGCTTCGAGTCTCTTGTTGTGAGGGAGTGGCTGCAGGTAAGAAATGCCAGTGAACAAAACGGCGATCCGTTCCAGTGACAGTTGTGTTGAGAAATAGCCTGAGAGGCAGCAAACAGGCTGGGCCTTGGTGCAGCCCCGCTGAGCGTGAATTAGGCCTTTGTCCGAAGAGCGACATCGTTAACTGGGTCGTTTGTACCTCTGGTGCTCCATGGACCTCTCTGCCTCTCCTGGTTGGGCCCCTCACTCCCAGAAGGACATTGAGGGGCTGGAG